TACTCAACAGTGTTGTGTCACCCTGACCTCAATTAAGGAACATATAAGGCATGTCAGTTATAGTCAAAACATTTCAAAATATACACTACATACAGATTTTTCTGCACTTAATCCCATGCAGGGTGGAGCTAGCATAGGGAAGCGCCGTCTTTGTGAATGACTTTTTCTGTTGCAGTGTGGAGGCACTTCATCACAGTCGTCCTCCTCTCTCTCCCCCTCTGTGTCTTTGTGTCATCCAAAATTATAGCCGCAGGGTCATAAACTGGTCTTGAGCTTGTTTCTTGTGGCTTGTAACATGCGGAAGTTGGCGTGGCTGAAATGTGGGAGGCGGGAGAAGAAAAGAGTTTCTCTCCTGGAAATAGCAGTGTAAACTGCCAATATTAGTTTTTGATTGGTGATGTAGGCATTAAGAGCTAAATTAACAAATACGTGGTGACAGAGGTGCGTCTAGAGGGAGGGCCTTGGGTGTCACTGGCTCCCACCCAAAATAAAAGCCCACTCCACAAACAGTGACGTTGAAGTGGAATGGAGGATTTCCCATGGTGGAAATGTAATTTATTACATTCACTTTAAATACTTTACTAAGGTACAAATTTGGTCATACCTGTGTGTTTTTTAGTATTTTCTTCCTCCTGCTTCTCCTCCAAAATGTATCATTTGTCCTCCATATTATTTATTTTATGCTAGTTTTTAATCATTTTACATACTTTATTTAGATTTTCAAACATAGACAAACCTACCCAGAATTATATAAAAAGAATTCAAATTGTATAGAGCTGGAAAATTAATTAATAAAAAATTAATTAAAATTAATCAATATTTATGAACCAGTAATATAATGTATATATCATGTTTATATTTTGTTGCAGTCAACTCATCCTGTTGACTGTACTTTGGTGTTTTTCTTTCCTGTCATTACAATTTTGAATTTGTCAGTGAATTTGTTCATAATGAGTATAATAATAATAATACATAATCAATTAGATTTTTGCTTTGATTTTATTAGTGCTTTTTAAAAATATGTTTTGTAGCTTCAACGTTTCCCTGTCAATAGTACCCAAATTCATCTATGCAGCAATTTATGCAGTTGATATTAATTTTAAGTACTATACAGCATCAAGAGGAGTAGTTGTACTCTAGTCAGTCATTTTAATTAAAATAGACTCCATTGCCGCATCCATTATCTGAACGGAGAATTTCCCAAAACGGAAATCATCAGAAGGTTGAAGGCCCCACCAACTCTACCCGGCACAGCTGGGGGATGCCCTGGTCATGTCACACATGGAAAAAGAGAGTTGGTACTGCTACACTGCAAGGCCCAGTCCAGGCGGCAGTGACCCTGCTGGGAGTGATGCATGTGCTGATGTTGCTGTCCAATTCTCAGCTGGAAGGTTTACATCATAAAGGTGTTACCTTTGGTCCTGAAACACAGAGAGCAACTGTCACATACCAGCTTGCCCTGAACATAGCATGAGGCAAACTGTGTGCTCTGCCTGCCTGTAGCATGTCTTTAGCTTCACCGGTTTTTAGTTGAGAGTCAAAGTTTGGTACTTGTTGCCAACAAAATGTCAGACTGGTCTCCATCAGTGCTAACCTTTGTCAGAGGCTCTATTCA